CCCGATTGAAAAAAGTTCCAATACTGCTATTTCTGTATATAGCTGGAGAGCACCACCTAGAGATGACAAAAAGGAATGGAAAAATGCCTGCCATAGTACTGCTCCTTAACATTTTTATTTGTAGCGTATTTTCCCAAGGTTTACCACAGAAAACACTAGTTCCCAAGGATGTTAAAAGGCATTTTAAGAAGAGGAGGGGAAAGAAAAAAAAGTGTGTTTAATTAAAAAAAAATATACCTTAGTCATATAAGACAAGAATAAGTTGAATTAAAATTAAACAATTTCTTTCTTATGGAACTTCTCTGAACAATAATGGGCGCTCTGGTAGCATAGTGCCTAAGGCATCTGTTTGCTAACCAGAAGGCTGGCGGTTCAAACCCCCCAGGCACTCCTCAGAAGGAAGGTTGGGCAATCTACTTCCATAGAGATACTGCCTCGGAAACCCAAGGAGGGGTCACTAACAGTCAGAAAATGACTCAATGGCAGTCAGTTTGGTTTGGTTTGGCTGAACAACAATGGATGAAATTAAGTGTTCACACTGAGCCAGCCATGTTATAAGCTTTTACATACATTAGCTCATGCAGTCCTCATAATTCTAATTGCTGTTGTTGTTAATTGCCCCCGAGTCAACCTTGAGTTATGGTGACCACATGCACAACAGGTGGGGGTCTCTGTGATCCATAGAGTTTTCATTGCTGATTTCTGAAAGTAAACCACCAGGCCTTTCCTCCTAGCCTGTCCTTGTTTGGAAGCTCTCCTGAAACTTGTTCAGCATCACAGTCACATGCATGTCTCCAGTGACAGGTGGCTATACTTGAGGTGCTTTGACTGGGAATTAAACAGGTCTCCCACTGAACCAATTAAGTGGATACTATTATTATTCCCAGTTTACAGATGAGGAAACTGAGATTTTAAAATGCTAAGTAACCTGTTCAATGTAACACAGCTAGTAAGCGATGGTCAGCCTGGCTCCACAACCCTGCTCTTAAATACTCCAGAGACAATAATAACACCCTATTGTTGTTGTTGTTATTGTGCCATCGAGTCGGACCCGACTCATAGTGACCCCTCCTTGGGTTTCCAAGGCAGTATCACTACAGAAGTAGATTGCCCAACCTTTCTTCCGAGGAGTGGCTGGTGGGTTTGAACCGCCAGCCTTCTGGTTAGCAGTCAAGTGCCTTAAGCACTATGCTACCAGAGCTCCTGTAACACTCTATAGGAGGCTGAATTCAAGATGCAGATAAAATGTCAGTATGCCCAGCACTGCCAACTTTAAAATATTGGGAGATTTTATATAAATATTTGTTTATCCAAGTTCTCTTGAAATCATCTGAAAAACTGGAAGACCTGGTAATCAGACCTACATGACAACAATTAACCTTAGCCCTTCTGAGGGATGCACTTTCCAGATTACCCAGTCCTCAAACAAAGAATTTCTTACACTCTGCCCATTTTACTGATGTTTCTTACAAAACCCACCAGCCACTCCTCGGAAGAAAGGTTGGGCAATCTACTTCCGTAGTGATACTGCCTTGGAAACCCAAGGAGGGGTCACTATGAGTCGGGTCCGACTCGATGGCACAACAACAACAACAACAATAGGGTGTTATTATTTGGTAAGCCCTATAAAGGAGCTCTGGTGGTATAGTGCCTAAGGCATTTCACCCTTAACCAGAAGGTTGGTGGTTCAAACCCACCAGCCACTCCAAGGAAGAAACAATGGGCAATCTACTTCTGTGAAGATTTACCTCCTCAGAAACCCAAAGGGGTTGTTGCTATAAGGTTGCGATGAGTTCTAACTTGATTGCAGTGAGTTTGTTTTTTAGGGCCCTGTGGGCATTTAGTTTGAAACTTTTACATTATTGTATACAATAAAGCCTTTTATATGCAAATGAATACGACCAGTACCTAAGAGTGACAAGGGAGATGCTCACTCTCACTGCCATGGAGTAGGATCTGACTTACAGCAACCCCTCCTTGGGTTTCTGTGGTGGTATCACTACAGCAACAACAAATCACTATGGAAGCAGATTGCCCAACCTTCCTTCCGAGAAGTGGGTAGTGAATTTGAACTGCCAGCCTTCTGGTTAGTAGTCAAATGCCTTAGGCACTATGTCACCAGAGCTCCCAAGGGAGATGCAGTGTTACCCAAACTTCTTTAATCGATAATTCCTTTTTGAAACTTTGAATTTTGAAAATGCTGATCTATAAGCACCTATTGTAACCATATAAAGGGACTGATATTTAGATAAACACCAAAATGTGAATGAAGGAAATGGAAACTACTTACAAATATTAGTCCTGATATCAAAGATGATGTCCCTGTAAGTGCCACATAGAATTTGGGTGTCAAGGAATTTAAAAATACTGTCACTGTCAAAAGAAAAAAATATTTTTTTAATGCAATTTCAAAGTATGTTAGAAATATGCAGGTATGTTTATTAGTGGAAGAACATTAAGGGTATTAATAGCTAACATGAGATTCATTTGAGAAAGTTGTAATTTAAAAAAAAGATACTTTAAATTCCCATCATATCTTAAAAATGAATTCACATATGGAAAAGTAGTATTTTATATTATTGATCCTTTAAATAAACAGCAAATCAAAATGAGATTAATTTAGCTTGCTTTTGAGAATAAAACTAAGAATTTACTGGTCTGATTTTGCAAAATAACTTTTGGAAATCTGTAAGGATAAGAAGCTTTTAAACACTCTTTTACTCCCTAGTTATTTTGGTGAAATACAAACCAGTGCCTCAGTTTATAATTATAGAATCCTGAGATAATGTGGGAAAGAAACATGATATGAATTTGGTATGTCACCCAGAGAGGCAAAATAGTTCAAACAGAAAAACAACTAAAACCTGTCCCTGACTCATTGTGAAATCCTGGACCAGATTTTTAATTTCAAATAATATCTCATAAATATTTTAGCTTTGAAAATAGAAGTGTGTAATAGTTAAATATTTCCATCTATAAGGTATAGTGAGTATTTTGAAAAAAAACTCAATAACATTCTACTGAGTTTACAAAGCATCACTGAACACCTCCTTCACTTGTTAGAAAGAATGCCAAATTAGTTCTTTCAAACAATCTAGGAAGGCCAATTTATTTAGCCTGTTTCTGAGTTAATTATGTCTGAATTTACACAGTATCTTTCAAACTGCATCAGTCTTTCATGTTACCCCATGAACAGAAAAGGGGATATTTGTCTCTTCTTGCTACCGAAAAATAAAACCACAGCACTACTAGGCAAAGTCATCATATAACAGAAGCATTTCCATCTTGTTCTGAGGTTACTGATCAGAGCTTGAGTGAAATATTGTATTAAATGTTAAGAGGCCCTGATCCCTATCGACTTTGACTAGCTACAGCTAAAGAACAGTATTTGCAAAATCCAAGGAAATTATACTTTCTTTTACATGTCTTTGTATCTTCAGCCCATACTAGCTAGCAAGTGCTCAACAGATGTTGAAAGAATGAACTGATGTTTGTAGCTCCACTTCCTGTACTGTTTTATTTTATTAACCAAGATAAAGCCCAACAAAGAATAAACAAAAATACCATGAAACCTATTTTTTGGCAGACCTATTTTAATCCAAGAGAATGGTCGACCAAGATCATGGAATGTTTTCTCCGAGAACTCTGAATACTTAAACGTTCTTTTTTTATTTTTGGTCGGAGTGTGGATTTTTTTTTTTTTTTTTTTAACTGGGCGTAAGGAGACTCAAAGGAATGATTTTCGAGAGATCCTACCAATGGTGGAGGTGCATATAAATTCTGTATCCAAGTCTGAAAGTACTCTTCTTTCCTACCACCTAAAGTTCACAGCTTGTCAGGTGGCTTTTCCTTGGGTAACCGAAAACAGAACAGGGCGGATCCTAACAGCTCTAGGGAGGAGCCGGTAACTGCAGCTCAGGGTTGACAATCAGCTGCAAGGATGAGGGCCAAGAGAAAAAGCATCACTTGGCTGTATGTAACCCACACATTCTCTGAAGCCCTTCAGGAACCAACAAGGACTTCTGCCCTTTGGTCCTTGCCTCCGGCGCCTCTCATAGCTAAAGCCCGTCCCCAGGGAGGTCGGGGCCTCTCACCCGCTGCCAAGTTCTCACACAGCCTCAGCGGGACCCTCAGAGCGTAAAGCAGACCCAGCCCCGCCACGAACCACAGCGAGGTCCCAGTCCCCGCTAGCCCGGCCCGCAGCCGCTCCCTCCAGCCTAGCGGCGGGCTCAGGCCCGAAGCGGGTGCAGGAGGAGAAGCCGCAGCAGTCCCTGCTTCACGCAAGCCGTCACCATCCGCCATCTTGCTGTTTCCGCAGGCGCCGGGTGCTGGGAGGGGAGAAAGGCAGGAAACCAGGAGTCGGGAATCCTGGGATAGTGGCGGACCTGAAGTTGGCGTATGTGAAGAGAACCCTAGGGAACTGGGTCCGCGTTTTGGAAGGTGGAGAAACGTCCCAAGACTGAGGCTACATCTCCTTTGTGGGAGCAGGGAGGGGTGGATAACGGCGCCTATTCTGGAAGACTTGGATTGTGATGTGACTCCAAGTGAAGGGTTTTTGCGTCAATGCAAGGTGTGTGGGGGGGTCACCTTTCACCCCACTCCTGGAGTTGGAAAAGCCACTGCTCATTCCAAAGGACAAGCAGCAGTTAGCGCTTTGGCTTTGGCTGCCATGGAAGATCACTGGTATTGGAGAAACCCAATAGCAGCAACTATTTGGTCGAGTAAAACTTAGAGCTCATGCCCCAAAGAACAGTCGAAATACTCCTCCAGAGTCCAGTAAATTAATGAGGAAACTAACAACTAGATGAGAACTCTGTTAAACTTAAAAACATGTAAAGCAAAGCGGACTTCCCGAGATTCTGGGGCTCACAGCCATTACTCTTGTCTGTAAATGACATGCTGCCCTCTCCATCGGCGTTTCCGGGTAGCTGGTGCTGACCGCCCCCGCAGTGATGCCATCACTCAGCTTCCTTCCCGGCCTGCTTTGCGCTTCTGCCGGGCTGGGCCAGAGCAGCCCAAGATGGCCGACTTCGAGGATCGGGTGTCGGATGAAGAGAAGGTAAGGGGTCCACCTCTCTCTCTTTCTCTTTCTCTCTCTCTCTCTCCCTCTCTCTTTCACGTCTTCCCTCGAAAAGGAGCAGAGGTCCTACCTGGCTGTGCTGGCAACCGTGATAGTGTCCCTAGGAAAAAGAAGGTTCTTAGCCGTGCTGGTACACGCTCTCTGTAGTTGGGACACTTCCTTCTCACAGGGTTTCCCTTTGCCTCACGGTGCCTCTGTTCCCCATTTTTCAACTCTTTTCCTCCCGAGCCTGAGGCACAGCCCAGTGGCCTAGCTGCGAAAAGAGACTTTCCCTTGTTGAATCGTGACTGAGGACTCTTCTTCTGTAATTGTGGGAGGGGGCCATAGTGATGTCGGGACGCATCAGGAAGCAGTTATTTTACTACCTTTAGTTGTTGGGGCTCACCCCATCCTCCATTTTTCGATATGATTGGGGCTAATTTAGGGCGAGTCACTTCCTGATCAGAGTGGCCTCTTAACTTCCTTTTTGCTCCTCCTTGCTCAGGAAGTGATTTTGCTGTCACGACTTCTCGACTGGGAGAGGTCCCTATGTGTTGTCTGCCTAATGTGCTTACACATCTACCCCTTTTCTCACGCACTATCGGTTTCGCTCATTCGTTATAATAAATCTGTAAGCCTTAGGACATTTGCTTCAGAATATGAACACGTTTATTTTCCATGTAGTTACTCTCTTGATCACGAGCCCTGGTGGCGCAGGTTAAAGCTCTGGGCTGCCAGCCCAGAAGTCAGCAGTTCAAACTCACCAGGCACTTCATGGAAGAAAGATGTGACTGTCTCCTGTAAAGATTTACAGTCTTGGAAACCCTATGGGGCAGTTCTATTCTACCCTATAGGGCTACTATATAGGTCGGATCTGCTCGACGGCAGTGGGTTTGGATTCTTGATTGCATTGCTGTAGTACATCCTCTTAAAGATAATTTTTGGAAATAGTTTTCGGTTTTGGACGTTCGTTTAACAAATCAAGAATAACCAGTGCATTATTTTTTTAAGATCAGGAAAGTTTTATGTAGCATTTAAATCTCATGTTATCACAATTAGGTCTAAACAAAGCATCCTACCTTTTTTATCTGAGTCTCTACTGTGATGTCATTGATTGTAGTTGTATTGGTCAGTGTGTTATTTACATACTATTAATTTCAAAAAGTGTCTTAAATACAAAAGCATATTCTAAATTGGGTATAATAACTTTTTTTTTTTTTTTCCTGGCAACTGCACATCTTTTTTGACAGCTTGCCAAGCTTTTCAGTAAATACATGCTTTATAAGGCCTGTAGAAATTAGAATTATCTCATTAGATAACAGAATTTTGCAGCTAAGGACAAGAATCCTGTTTCCCTTGGTCGATTACAAAGTGTGCACCCTTGAGTGCTCAAATGTGTCTGAGCTCTTTTCTTTTTTTATTACAAGAGATTAGAATGGGAGTGGGGACTGTTTATAATCCAGGAGCCCTCAATACGGAATAATTTGATATACCTACATATGATACGCCATTTTGAAATACTAAAGAATGTGCTAAACATAAACCATTGAACAACACTTTAGTATTAAATTTTATTTGGAAAGTGGTTCTCATTAATGTTTATAAATGAAATTTAGGGGGGAAAGGTGTTTATGTATGAATTTATGCCAGAGAGAAACTATAGTAAAATATTTGTTCTAAGGCAAATGATTGTTCAAATCAAACTAAATTACAGTGAAAAAAATAGAATAGCAATTTTTTTTAATCCAAACTGATGGTCCCGTTATTTTAAGCAAAAATTTTGTTAACAGAATTTCACTAAGAATTTGAATAATAAACTTCGAAGTATGCATAAGTCTGGTTAATAAATTTTGAAGTTTATTATGCCAATGGTACTTCATTTGCCAGTGTTGTTGGCTTGTCTTTGACACTAGGTCAGAATGCTTTTTTAATTGAATTTGGGAAAATCCATGCGTATTTCAAACTGCAAACTCAGATGCCTTTGAATATTAACAGTGTCTTAATTAATAATACCAGTTGTTTAAATTGATGCCTTTGAATATTAACAGTGTCTTAATTAATAATACCAGTCATTTGAATTTCGTAACACCACGTCTGTGACCAGTTTCCCCTATCTCCTAGGATACTTCTGTTACTTAGTTTAAATGACATAACAAGCAAATCTTAAATGACAAGATAAATCTACTGACAATTTTGATGAATTTCATATTCAATAAATAATTTTTAGATTACATTGTCTTCATTGGTGGATAGATAAGAATAGCTACTCAGGCTCACTCACTCACTGCCATCCAGTTGATCCCGACTCATAGTACCCTTCTTTGGGTTTCTGAGGCAGTATTTCTCAGAAGTACATTGCCCGATCTTCCTTCCGAGGAGTGGCTGGTAGGTTTGAACCTCCAGCCTTCTGGTTAGCAGTCAAATGCTTTAGGCACTACACCACCAGAACTCCTAAGAATAGCTAATACAATAAAAATCTCATATAACAAATTTGATATGAGATTACTGAAATTTTGTTAAAGCCCCTTCCATACTGTGATAAAACTGATATAAATCAGTATCTCCCTGTTGTGAATCTGTAAATGAAAAAACTTTGACCTGTAAGTAATTAATTCTCCTTCAGCTTTAAACTTAATTTGCCCACTTATCCTCCAGGCATCTGATTGCTTTTCATTGAATTCAAGAATTGAGAAAGTATGTTTCCAAAAAATTTTGCTGATAAGACTGTCTTGTTGTTGTTGTTGTTGTTTGCCGTCGAGTCAAACCTGACTCATAGCGACCCCTCCTTGGGTTTCCGAGGCAGTATCACTACGGAAGTAGGATTGCCCAACCTTCCTTCCGAGGAGTGGCTGGTGGGTTTGAACCGCCAGCCGTCTGGTTAACAGGCAAGTGTCTTAGCCACTATGCTACCAGAGCTCCCAAGACTGTCTTAGCATTCATAAATAATAAGTAACCCATCAAGAGAGACTTTTGTCCTATAAGACTTCCACAACCAAGGCACCTTTAAAAAGTGATTTTAAAAATCAAAACCTTTTTAGCTGTTGTTTATATTCTGATTTTTTTCTCTGAAGAAATTCTGAAGTTTTCAATTTTTATTTTTTTTCCTTTCTTTAAGATCTCAACTGTATTTTATGTAATTCAGGTTTTTTTTAAGGCATATATGTCATGATGTCAAATATCTTTTAATACTGCTTTTTATCTTTCTTACGTTTTCTAAAAGCAGCAAATCCTGAGGTGAATTTGTTAGTAATGGTCTCTGATTTTCTTCTAAGAAGCTAATAAAACTAACCATTCCCATAGCTAACTGCCGAAGTTTCTATCACTTATAAAGAGGAAGTTGGGTTGTTGTTTTTTTTTTTTTAGCTTCTGCATTATTACCTGAAATGGTCATGATGAGCTGTCTAAATAAAACAGGAAGTTGAAAGTGTAGTAACTTGCGGAAATGCTTTTAGTCTTAGTCTTCTCGAGGAGCCCTGGTAGAGCTTTGGTAAAGCTCTCCGCTGCTGAAAGTTTGGCAGTTCAAACCCATCAGAAGCTCCATTGGGAAAAGATGTGGCAGACTGCTTCCTATTTCAGCCTTGAAAACCTATGGGGCCGTTTTACTCTGTACTAGGTAGTATGAGTCTGGATTTGACAGCAATCCTCAAGTTCACAGTTTCTGAGAATGAGCTAGAGTTTTCAAGTTACTTAAGTTCTTTAGTTAGTTACTTCTAAATGGCTTAACAAGACCAAAGTGGCAAGATACCATTATTAGGAAGCTTGAAATATGAGATAAACTACTTTGCACAGTCTGTTTCCTTTATTTTATGATTCAGCATTTTAAAAATGTAAATGCCAAGAAAATCTTTGGACTGGGAAAAAATGTGGTTAGCATATTTTCCCCCCTTCAGCTTAAATAGTAGAGTATTTAGGTCAAACTTCAAAAATACTGTAACTTAGAAGTGAATTTGTATGCTTTAAGTGTAGACTCTCTAATCCTTTTATGAGAAACAGGTTTATCAGAATTATTTAGATGAGATAGAGAAAATGTAAATAGGTACTGGAATTTGAGGGCTCTGCTAGAATTCATGAAAAATACTTAATACTTTTTTTTATTTTTTATTATTACTTTTTTTGACGTGGGTCAGTGCTTTTTTTATCTTTTTTTTTTTTTGCAGTGTTCCCTCTTCTCCCCTCCCACCTCTGGTAATCAACAAAGTTTCCTTCCATGTATAAACCTTTCCTTGACTTTTTACTTAGTTTTGTTGTTGTTGTTATGTGCCATCGGGTCGGACCGGACTCATAGCAACCCCTCCTTGGGTTTCAAGGTAGTATCACTACGGAAGTAGATTGCCCCATCTTCCTTCCGAGGAGTGGCTGGTGGGTTTGAACTGCTAGCCTTCTGGTTAGCAGTCAATTGCCTTAGGCACTACACTACCAGAGCTCCCACTTTTACAGTAATGAGCTAATATTATATTTGTCCTTCTGTAATTGACTTATTTCACTCAGCATAATGTCCTCCAAGTTTATCCATGTTATGCAGTGTTTTGCAGATTCTACATTGTTCTTTAGTTTGCATAGTATTCCATTGTTTGTATGTAAAAAACATTTATACTTTTCAGCTGGATTTCCTTGATTATGAATTACTTCATTTACTAGGTAACTTCTTGCCATTATAGGAATTCAGTAATTCAGTAAGCCCTAATATTTATTTGACTTGGCTGTTTTCTGTTACAAAATCCTTGGACAGGAGCATAAAGCAAGAGTAGGTATAAACACAGATGCCTGATCGATGGTTAGGACTGTAATTATCATAATTTCTTCCAGAATATCTAGCTGTTCTATTAGGATCATCTTAATGCTGTGCAAAATAGTGTAATTTGTAAGAAGGTTTAACTCCAGGTTTGCCTGATTCTAAAGCCATGCTTTTTTTATTACAGTTTTTTTTCCTTGTAGGTATGAATGAAAAACCAGAATAGAGGCATCTATTTAATGATTATAAATGAAGTTCTGTGATATAG